ATTCGTATTATACATATATCCGCGCCGCACCCACATTACTAATAGGTCTAAATTTGTTAGTTAAGTAGTCTAAGTACGCGTCCCACTTGAAGTTGTGGCAGGTAACTACTCCTACAAGAGGAAATCTTTATCAAGTAACCCTAAGTTGCTCTCCGGGCGATGTTTCTTTTTACGCAAGATCAGTAAGCCCCTGAATTTTGTCGGGTTAAGTTTAAGATAATTATATGCGCTCCAGCTTTCAAGGTGTTCTAAGTGACAGCATATTTTTATACCCAATGAGACTGATATTGAACTTGTATAGATCGCAGTGTTACCAGCATACCGCGCAAGGGAAACAGTGTTGACAATCGGAATATCAGAAGAGAAGAATGAACACAGCAGAGGGGGGAAAGGGAACCCTGTAGGGCACCTGCAGGAAGAAAGTACGAATCAAAGGTTAGGGTTTCTATCTTGACTTTAAATTCTCTACTTTTTAAAAGGACTCGATTAATTGGATCAGGTACTAAGGAATGAATATTATAATTTGCCATTTTCAAGATTATTCCTTTGTGCCATACGTTATCAAAGGTTCCTTCGACATCGGAGAGTACAAAAATTGTAGCTTTCTTATAGTTTTAACGATTTGGTAACGAGCTCAGAAAGTCTCGAAATCTGTTGAATGGCGGAATGACCTTTCTGAAAGTCATACTGTACTTTAGGAATTATGGATTCACTCTCCACAGAATTTTGCAACCTTTTAAATTAAGCGCTTCTGCGATTTTTCCGAGCGATAGCGGGCTTATAGGGCGATAATCTTTGCCCAAATTACTGGGGGTGGGGTCTATGGGATCACGATAACATGGGAAAATTTCCAGCGTTCTGGAAACGTTTTTAGAAGAAACATCATATTCCTCAATTTACCAATGTAAGTGAGTGCAATTAATGGAAGATATTTAAGCATTAGATTTGTTATACCATCTGGGCCGCTCGCTTTTTTGGTGGAAAGTGTTCTTATCACTGCAGTAATTTCTTCCAGTGTGGTAAGCGCCGGCAAATCAGCGAGTGTCCGTCTTCAACAGTGTACGGAGTAGTGGGTAAAAAGGAAAAGTTAGTGCAAGTAACACTTTGAGAAGAGGGATTCTGCAAACAGATTAATCTTTTCTAACGGGGAATAAACGGCGTGACCTTCGTAGAGGATTATATATGAGTTTGGGGAGGGTTTATTTTTGTTCTTCAACTCCTTTGCTAATTCCTTTAAAGAATTGTCGGAGGCTTTTAAATTTTTAAGGTTGTCTTAACAAGTTTTGTTGAAAAAAATAAGATCTCTTTTTTAACCCTATAATTCTCTTGGTTTAAAAGGCGTTTGTCATTCGAGGATTTAGTATGTGCATACCTTCTTCTCATACGCCTCCTCTTAGTAATTGTGCGTTTCAACTTTTCCGGTAGTATAAGAGGTGAAACAAGTAGGGTTTTGTGTTTGTTGTTCGATTGTGTGACTCAAGAATTACGGATTCTAATTACGTTACTGCATCATTAAAGTTAAAGATCGACAAAGGAGCCATGAAAAACGAAAGGTTGTCCTCCAAATATCCTTTAAAACTAGACGAATTCGTTATTTTCTTCTCCGTTTGAAGTAATTTTTAGGGGGTGCCCTCAAGAGTGATTAGAACTGGGTTGTGGTCAGAAGAGAGTACCAACAAAGTGGTTGTAGAATTGAAGCACAAAATGTTCTTCATCAGGGCACTATCGAGCATTCGATTATGTAATTGGGACATGAGTTGGGTTACTGGGACCTATCACAAGAACTCATTTTTCTTTTGCAGGTTTTTCTAGAATGAACCCATTTGGGTTCGTACAAGTCTCTTCCAGAATGAATGGTTGCAAATAAGATTTCCGCCAAGAATTACTGAGGTTGAACCAGAGAATATTGTTTAGATTCCCTCCCTTCTAATCTTTTGTCGGGAGGTTTATAGGCTGAAAAAATATGAACCATACCATGGTTATTAAGTTTCAATTTAACTCCTAGGGCCTCAAGACCGGAAGGTTTCTGGAATCCGAGAGGTAGGTGCAGGATGTGTTTTTTTTATGAATAAAGCTACTCCGCCATGTCCAGAATTGAGTCTATCTTTTCTATAGAATGAATAGTTGCAGCGCGTATTTGTCACCCTGATTAAAAGGTGTTTCTGAGGCTAAAATTATGTCATTATCTTAGCTCGGCCAAGCTCTTGAAGATCGTGAAGCCTGGTACTGAGACCATTCAGCATTCCAAGCTATTTTCAAGTTGTGTACGCTAGCGGGTTATAGTCAAATTTTCAAACAGTTCATTAATGGAATTTGCAATTTGAGCACTAAATTCTGTCGTTAATGAGGAAAAAAAGTTACTCAACAATTCATTGACTGAGTTTGAGCCTTTTAAATTCCCCATGATGCCCGGTTCCCCTTTGTGTATTCCAGACCAGCACCTTTAAAATATATAATTCTGGTAGGAACTTTTTGTTCTTCCTTTTCCTTTGCTTCTTTACGAAATGATGCATCTTTAGAGTAGAGAAGACAGCCCTTGTAGTTGATGTGCGTTCTCCTTGGCAATTTGCGCGGCGCGGTTTAGCATATTTGTCTTTTCCGCCACGTTTAAAGGCGTGGTTGTCCCCGCCCAGTACCTGGAACTGTGCCCATATTGTTGGCAGCGGAAACATTGACCAATTCGACTACTATTTTTTAAGGGTTTTACTAAAAATGAAATGTATCCGATGTTTTTTAGGTGATAGATGGTAGTCTCGGTTTTAGGCAACTTAATGATAACTAAAGGTAAAGAAATTTTGTTTTTGTAACTTCGCATGCGAATTACCTCTCCGATAAGAAATTGAGACCTCAACTCAGCCTTGATTACATCAGCACACTTTTTATTAAAAACAATCCGAAACACCACATTAAGATCCTTATCTTCAGGGGGTCGAGATGTGTGGTATTCACATCCGTTTCGGTCCAAGATAGCGGTGAACCCGCGAACTCATTTGTAAATGAGATCAGTGCACGTATGCCATATCTGACATCTTTAGCACAGGATATTTTGATGTTTTCTCATTTAACTAAGTTAACGATATCATCCCATTTTCCTTTATTTCGGATTGTAATAGGGGGAATCATTCCTTTAATAATAATATTATCGTTGTCATTATTGTTAACACTGGTAGCACTGTTAATGTTAGTATTTTAATATTATTATTAAAATTGTTGATATTGTTAATTTTATTGGTCTTGGAATTGGTATTATTGTTATATAATTACTAATATCACTGTGGTCAGCGCTTATATTTCTCATTATTAGTTATATTTTCGGTCACTATCGATACTGCCATCATTGTTGTCATTAACGATATTGTTAATAACATTAATATTAATAGTAGTTGTATTCTAAGAATAAAATTGCATTTCAAAGTTTCTTTGATTGTTACTAACTTATGGAAATAACATTCCATAAGAGAACTTTTATAGATTGTTTACTTTATAAAACTTTAACTACAGGGATTCAGTAGAAGTATCCCAGTTTCGTGTTGCAAGTTATATTAGTAAGTACCAGAGTAATCTGTGATTTTCAAACTTCATTACAGAAACATGACTAACATATGATACCAGGAGAATGAATTATTTATCACGACAGCGACGTTTATTTCACGCTGTACAGTAACAAAGTTAAAATGAGTTCTAGGCTTTTATTACCAAGTCGAGAACAAAATTGTTCTCTAAACTAATTCTATTAACTATAAAGCAACTCATATATAAACAGACGTTCACAACATTATATAATGAGATAACGCTACTAAGTAAAAAACACTAAGCTTTACTGAGTTAGCAAATTTAAAAAAACTAACTATTATGTATAGACCGTAAAGATTGAACATAAAATACTAACACAATAAGCTTAAAAAGTGCCCGAGTAAACTAATAATAAAGTTCTAAAATTCTTGAGGAAATCTGCAACTCCGAAGAGTACACAATAAATTAAAATAAAAAAGCTAAATTACTAGAATTAGTAGGTAAACGTTCGGTTTTAGGATAGGCCGAAAGTAGAATGAGTCTTAAGTACGCTCAGTTATTGTAATATTTATACATGTACATATTGGAAAGAAACGTATTTAGCTGTAAAAGATAAGAGTATATTTAATAAATTAGAGGGAAGAAAGAGTCTTCTCGGCTTCTATACGTAATAAAAAAGTTAAAAGAAACGTTCCCCCCCACCCTTAACATAAAAACATATATAAATGCTAACTTACACAATTTCCTTACTTTTAACAAAACAAAATTGCTGCTACAGGTAAGCTAAATTGTTATTGTGCGGTGGCGATTATAGATTAGATCCCGGATGTTATGTACGACCTGGCATAGGCATTAAAAGTAGACACTAAAAAACCAAATTAAAAAAAAAAAAAATTAGTACTAATAATTATCAGAAAGCCATTAGTACTAAATATAAAAAAAAAGAAGCGCCGATCCCATCTTTAGAGAGGCTTGGGCTTACCCTTGTTAAATTAAAAATCTCTTTTTAGCAGCTATTAAAAACTTAAAAAAATTACATAAAATAAAAAATCTAGTTTTACTTGTCCTTTATCACTAGGTAATTTAAAGGGCTCATGTTAACTACAAAAAATGCATATAGCATCTATTATTGCTTTGAAGAAGTACACCAACATTAATTAAAAAAGAATCCGCTTAAACTTTTTATACATTTTCAAAAAAAAAAGTTAATAATTACATCTAATATCTAACTTTTTATTATAAGAGAAATAATAGTTATAAATCATAAAGGTAGAACTATTGCAGAGAAAGTGAAGTCGTGAAAACTAAGTTCTTTTTTTGTTAAGTATAACGATGGCATGCCGTCCAATTGCTCGATCATAAGTGTCATACAACCAAGGAAATCGTGACATACAAGTTCATCGGTTTTTCAATTTACATTTATTGGCCAAAAAGGTTAGAAAGTTTGATATATAGCCACCTCAGAGGAAGGATTGACTTACAGTTATGGATCTTCACTTAAAGGGTTTATAGCCGTTTATTTTTGAAGCGCTTTGTATACTTATCTTAAAACTAAAGGGGGAAGTTTTTTGCAAATTTTTTTTTGTGTCACCTTTTAGTACTTTTTAAATATTCCAGCACCATTTTGTATTCTTTTTAACATTTTTTTATACTATCGTTTTACACACAGAACGTTGTAAGCCTTATCCTGAGGTAAGTTTATTTTAGTGTAATAGTTATTATATTATTAGCTTCACTTTTCCTTATCACAACTGTAGAAGTTAGTTTTCATAATTGACGAAGTGTTCGCTGTAACTTGCGAATTTGACTATACTGGATCGCTCTTAGCTGTTGGTTGTAAAGATGGGAAAATAGGGGTATGTATACCCTTTAATTAGCTATATGTGTTTAGTATTGATAATTTAGATTTGGGAAGTAGTTACGCGAATGTTTATAGAAAGTCTCCTCGGGCACGTTGCTCCGATCACTAGTCTAAGGTCACTTATATTTATTTTGAACTTTGATTTTCTCAAGATTTGTTAATGAAGCTGGTCGGCCACCCAAAAACGCATCTTGTTGAGCGGAGCAGCCGACTGGCAGGTACCTTTCGTTCTTCCTTCTTTCGTCCTTGTTATATTATTTGAGGTAACGCAAGTTGAGATTAGTAAAGTTTATATTTCTGCTTTGAGCAGATAATCATCTGGGATGTCCAGTCCGGTGAAAAACTCTTCTGTCATGTTTTTGGAAGTTACGTTCTGAACGCCCAGCTTAGCCCTTCGTGCAGGTAGCGCCATCCGCTGTGTCTCTAACAGAATCCACTGCTGACTGTAGAAGTTCAACGTTCGTAGCCAGCGTGCTCGCTGAAAACCCGTTTCTGTGTAGAATGAAGAGTACTAGAGTGCAGGAGGAGCATAATACTCGTGCAGCCCCCACTACCCTCGACGCAGCTGCTAGTATATACGAATTTACTGCGAGCGAAGAGGCTGCCGGCCGGCTTGAAAACTCCATTGTTTCCTTTGACGGTTCCGGAACGCAAGTCTTTGTGGGTTATTACGGAGCGGCTGGACCAACAATACTTTCATTATATATATATATGTGCAACAAGGGACTTCTAGTGGAAGAGTCTTCGTATTCGGAGCGGACAACCAGTGTCTGCTGCGAGTATTTGTCGTCTCGACCAGCGCAGTGAAGAGCATCAAGTTTGCCCAAAACGGGTTTTTCTTAAGGAATAACTTTTGCAATTTTTTTTTTATATTTTTAATTGAGAGCGCGACTTGTTGTTAACTCGAACGACGGAGTTTTACGGGTTTATTCAAGTGCGGATCTGTCTTTAGTGGCTGAATTTGTGGTAAAAAAAGCTTTGATTTCCTTATTTGTTTATGGACGAGTGCTAAGCACTATTCGACTGGTTAGGAAGTCGTCACCAAGTGCCGCTGGAGGGGCGTGTGTATGAGCAGTGATGGCAACTATGTACTTGCAGGTTCCAGTAGTAAAGCACCCGCTGGAAAGTTGCCTGCAAACCTTTTTAAAAGGATCGGCCGAGTCCTCCACTTACAAACTTTTTCTCTGGAACTGCAACTTTAAAACCATCGAAAAAACCCTGGAGGGCACGCCAGAACCCGTGCTCCATGTGGCTGTACGCGTTAGAAAAAAATTTTCGGCGTACTCAAGAGTGAATATCAGTAAAGTTTAACAGTAGGAGAACAATGATTGCTTCGGTCAACACGATTGGCATAGCGCTCGTTTGGTCCAATGAACGTGAGCCGACTTGGGCTGTTTACGATCCGGGTATCGTCGTATCGAGACCGTTTCAACTCCTTTCCTCATATCAGTAAAACAGGCTTCAGCGAGATAGCCGAGAATATCGAATACGTCGAAGAAGAAACTGAATTCGACGTGCTTGAAGGTCCAAGTAACATCAAGATTGCGGTTAGCAGGTTTTGTTAAATTACGGCGGTGCTCAGGAATACCAGAGGAGTGTCCAGGCCTGTCGGAGGATAGTGATGCGTTGATCGACGTGGAAGGCACCAGCGACACAGACGCGTAAGTCTCAGCACCGCCAACTGGGAGAGTTAATAGAATACATATCAAAGCAGCGAGCCGGCAATAATATTGAAGGAAATTTTAAGAACGGCTGAAGAGGAGCAGTGCGGCTTTAATATGTACGTTGCCCACATAAATGAAAGGCTGCTGGCCATGTGAATTCCGACCAGCGTTATACGAATTCTATTCTGGCGTAGTGCTCTTCACTGCGCGTGTGGACCACAATGACTGCAGGGCTCCTCAGCTTAGCAATAAAAAGTATAAAATGAAACTTTTAATAGTCACAGCGGAGATATACCAGCGCGCTTAGCTTTTTCTGTGCATTTTCCGTGAAGTTTAAGAGCCCTTAGCCACTTGTCGGGAATCATGTTTGTTTGGCACTATATATATAGGCACCTTTCCGGTAGTACAGGTACTTTCCTTCGTAGGTAAGCTGAGGGTCCTCCCATTTCCTATCCAATGGATGGCTAATCGAAGCCCCTCGGGTTATTAATAAGTACATGCGTTCTCTGATCTGTTGCCAGTAACTCGCGGAGTTCACGAAGGGTCATGTCCGGGGAACACTCAAAGAGGACAGGCAAGTTTCCGCAAACTTCACAATCTGGCATTCGATTGGTCCTGTAGACGTGCATGTAGATGCCGTCCTGCTTGACTTTCGGTAGAATGTGTGGGACAGTGGGATTTGTCGCTATGGAAACGGACCGTCCCGTTGAACATAAGCTGGGAAGACAGCGGCTCGTAGGCGCCGGTCACCAGCTTGAAAGCTTCGAGGGCACAGATGCCTGCACATGGCATGCTGGATGTCGCTTTATATAAGCTACAGCGTCTACAAATGACCTGATATTGCAGCGTTGGTGGCAGCGACGGCTGGTATGGTGTTTCTGAGGACCACCTGGGCCAATCGGTGATCGATTCCCTTGAAAAACATGTGCGTCATATATAAAAGAGGCGAGCCTCGTTAGCTCTACTTTGAGGTTAAAGGAATTCCCCCTGCAAACTGCTTCCTTCGCTACCCACTCCAGATGGTCGTCGTTGCTGGCATCAAACTCAACATCTGCCACTGAAAAAGTTAGCGCGTTCTATAGCACTGCAGTCACATCCCTGCTTGCCTCCGAACGGCAGTCTCTCTGGCCAGTGGACGTGCCTTGCCCAGAGTACGCAATGTGCCTATCAAAGCGCTGTCATCGGTGGTCTGGTAGAGGGGGCGCTAGTGAGTACTGGCGTTCTCGGTTTTGTGGCGATGGTGCAGAGCTGTACGGCGGTAGTCTCGGGGTACTGCCCTCTCATGCAGCGGAAGCAGTGGGTCTTTGTGGGCACGAGGACTTGGACGGAGCCCTTCAACCCTTCAGAGCTCATATTACACGTTGTTACTAGTGGGGTCAAGCCAGCGTCACACCTTCAGTGCCGCCGTCGATGATGGGGATCACCGTACTCTCGTCCACCTGCAAAGCACAGTAATGCGGAAACTCTAAATCACGCAAACTTTGTAAGAGCGGCCAATCGAACCTTTCCGTCAAGGTCTATACGCACCACGCGATGGACTAAGCTATTAATCCAATCCCGTGCTGTATTGTGCAAGTACACAAAGAAGTTAAAAGTACTACAAAGCTAAATAAGGGCCAGTTATTCATTCAAATTCTCTAATAATAGGTGATTGCAGATTTTGCAAACTAGTAGAGATTTTCGGAGTTGTGTGAGTTTAGTCAAGCAAAGGAGTTGTTAATAAGGTGTGATCTTGACTACTAACAATAAAGGCAATAAAGCTAATAAACTTTTTTTTAGCTACTTTTATATTAGATACCAAGTATATTTTTAGTATTGTTTTGGGGTTAACATTAGATCTTATTAAAAGAGCTTTAGAGTACAAGAAAAAATAGTAGACGTTTATAGTATACCAGAAATGGAATCCAGGCCCAAAAGAATGACGTGGAAGGAAGAATAAAACTCGGCATCAAGGTCTTCTAAACGAGTGTTATAAGCGGTCACGTTAACTCCAGGAACGCGCCAGTTTGTATATTTAGCGGCCACCTAAAAGACATGTTTGTGTACTCTTTACACGGCATATACAAAAATAAGTTAACCTCAGCTTTGAATTTTCCTACGTCCGAAGTTCTAAATAAAAACTGACGGTTAAGATTCGAGAATTCTATAGTATCCATATCAATAACGGAAATATGTCTGAAACCAGAAAGTGCCTCAAAAAATATAATTAACATAAGAAAGTTTAAATTTTTAAGATTATAACTAAATCCTTTAAAAGTTCGCATCCTAAGCCGCCAGCTCCAACTACAAGCACCTTTGCGTGGTTAAGTAGTAAATCTAGATTCTTGTATATTTAGCAAAGTAAGGCAATAAATTAAAAATAATACAGTAGTAAAGAACAAATAAGACGAAGTTTAACAAGCCTCAGAGCTGGGTTCAAAGTTGGGGGACTGAAAAGGGCCCTCTCGAGTTAAAAGTTTATTAATCGACTCAAAACGTAAAGATGCCATCATAATCTTTTATAAGTTATCAGCGCTACCCCAAAGCAAACTTCTTTTGTATACTATTATGCGATAACCTTTTTGTATATTCACGCTTAAGTTTAAACAAACCTTCATCGCGGCCCTCTTCCCTTTTTTGGATGTGACCCGAGGCCTCTACTTTTTACTACGGATTTGCTATAAATATCTTACCTTTATTTACATATTTATTTCTTCCCTCATGGCTTTTACAATGTGTTGAAATTAAATAAATAATTAATTACCATTTTTTTGCTTAATGTCTACCTAACTTACTAGCTATATATACCTGCACTACCTATATATATCTTTTAAGTTAATACTCATTATTATTATTGTTGTAACAGTACTTTATATATATATATTGGTTTCTTCCTAAACGGTTAAAATGTGTTTTTCTTCCTAAAATATAAAACAACAAGTTCTAATTAACAACTTGTTGACTGCCAGCGCGGCTTTGAAAAATAAGAATAATTTTTGAAGACAAAACTTCAACAACTAGAAAAAATGCTTTGAAACTAAAGTATTTACAGATTCTAATGCTATTACTGCACCCCATCTTCTAGACAAGCCTTGATCTTTAAAAGAGGATATTTCGGAAGATAGTATTCATAATACTTATTTCATCAAGTGAAGTAATAATAATAGTAGCAAATTCTTAAAAAATAATAACAGCAGTCATAATAGTAACCAAGATAATACTAATAGTAATATAGATGATAAAAATAATAATAGTTAGAATATTAGTAGTGATCGTTGTAACAGTAAGAACGATATATACTTAAAACTGCCTTCACCATCCCAACCTCCAGAACAACAACCGTTTACCCAGCCAAAATTGGGTAAAGTGGAAACAGACAGACCTCTGAAGAAAAACTCAATATGCGTGCAGCCCGGAAAAAATTTCCCTCATCGTTCTCGTTGATAAGAAAATGTGGCCTACGTTAGTGGAATTTCTAAACACCCAGGGCGCTAAGGTTCCTTCCACGTGTAATCTCCGCTATGGCATCCACCTGTTGCCGTCAACTGACGTGGACTACCGCGGAATAGTAGCACTATTAGGGGAGTGCTCTAGGCAACACTACTGCTACCAGTTACCCGAGGGCAAACCCGTCATGATCGTTCTTCGAGGCCCTTACACCCTTCTACCTATAGTCGACTTTGAAACAGCGCTACGTGGACAGCGATTTCACCCTCCAAATTGCACGGCTATCTAACAACCCGCCCAAACGTTAAGAACCGCATTACAGTCGCGGCTACTGGTCCTTGTACACTTGCTGAAGAAGTAAGGACCTGCAGTCTACGCAAGCAATCTTTTTATCATCTGCAAATAATTGTTGAAACTTCGTAAGAATGACCGCACGGAACGGTGCCATCACGCTGCGTCAAGTGTGGGGAAATTTCATCTAACGATTCAATGTGAGAAATCACTAGAATTGCCCGCCAAATGCGCTAACTGCGGCGAAGCCCACACTGCAAATTACCGAGGTTTGAAAATATCTTCGAAAAGCGTTTCTCCGTTATGGACCCATCAACGGCCCACGAAAACGCAACTAGTACCGACGATCTCTTCGCAGCCCTTTTGGAACAAAACCTCAGGCACCGCTACCCGCTTAACAACAAAGGCCTATTGCTCCGAATCCCGTTGGCGAGATACTAGCACCACTCGCAACTGCTCTTAAAACATTTCTTCTATGATTAGCGACCTGACGACCGCAAATAGTTTCTAGGACCCGTTCAGTACGTCACCTGAAACTCTTGCAGGGGAACGCCAACGATGTTCACTGCAAAAAGGACGAACTGCTGCAGCTATTTCAGAGTGAAGATGTGGATGTCGCAGTATTAAGCGGGATGCACTTGGAAGTAGACGTTCAGTTTGTACTCTGCAACTACACAACATATCGTCTCGACCGTCTTGACAGACGCGACGGTGGAGTAACTGTTCTGGTGGGGCGAAGTCTACCGCACCATCCGATTGCTCTTTCAAACTTAAAGGGTGTGGTGGCCGTGGGGAAACTTTCAGCCTGGTTTACACGAGAAAGACTGACGTGATACCCGTCTATAAACTTCCCGTCGTGACCCTGCTTACAAGTGATCTGGATGAGCTGCTACAACGCTGCTTGCCGTTGTTCTTTGTGGTGACTATCTGCAAACATACTGCTCGGAACAGTCGAGTCAAAAATACGAACGGGAAATGTCTTGAGAATTACGCGGGCCAACATAGCATTCGCGTGCTGGTACCTCGTCGTCCAACGAACATGTCAAAAACGGGCTCTTCAGACGTCCTCGAAATAGCTCTTTTTAAAGACATACACCAGTCGGTATCAACCGCAGAACTGCATGAGCTCTCATCGGACCACCTGCCGTTGAAGTTATCGCAATATCCCTATCCGTCTCCCCCTATGACTCCCTCCCTATTGGGACGCGGTTGATTGTCTTGAGGGCGCACTGACAGCTGCTATCGCAAAGTCGCCTATCGTCCTGGCCGTCGACCGTATTATATGATAAATTTTATTCGTCAACATCGCCGGTTAATACGCCTGGCCGCTACTACACAACACCCCGAGGACTAACGGACTCTAAACCGTCTTTGCCGAACCATTAAAAAGGAGCTGGCCGCCTTTCACAATAATCACTGGGAGGAGAAATTGAAGGCCTTGTCTGTAGCGGTTAAGAAAGGACCGTCATCATTTTGGCGTTTCGTCAAACGTATTAAAAACCGTTCCCCCACCCCACCTCCGCCACTTAATAATGGCGTGATAGCGGCGGAGGGCGACGAACAGAAGGAGACGCTCTTTGCTGACCATCCCATCTGCTCCTTGCGTGTCTCCTACTTGGACAACCTTTGAAGACTAAGGCAAGACACCGCAAGACCCCCGACCATTGTTGACGAAATATCAAACCAAGTTCACCTGATGAAATCACTGATATAGTTTCTGCATTTTCACGACGGAAAAAACCCGGCGACGGCAATACTAACGAACTGCTGAAAAAGCTGCCGCCAGTGGCGATTAACCATCTCTCCGTTTTACAACTTCTGCAATTTCGCTTGGCTCCTTCCCAACGCAATGGAAACCGGCCATTCTCGTGATGCTACCTTAGACTCCACGGGCCCCAAAAATTAACCCCCATCAGCCCCCTTTTAGCGGTTGGCAAAATCGTGGCGCCAGTTCTATTACTCAAGCTGGGAGAGTTTATAGAAGCACACAAAGCGCTTCCTGAATCCAATTTGGATTCCCAGGAGGCAACTTTACGACATATCAACTTTTGCGCTTTGCTGAGAGGACAACTCGGAACTTCAATTTTAAGAGATCCACGACGTCGTCTTTCTCGACTTTTAAAAGAGTCTTTGACCGCGTATGGAACGAGGGGCCCCTACACAAACTACGCACATTAGGTACTCCGTTAGCCCTCTACCACAACTTGCGTTGTTTCTACGAGGATGCGGACTGTACTGCTGCCCTACTACTGACAGCTGGTATTCGGCTAGGTTCTTTGCTCTCGCCCCTACTCTTCGAGCTATTCATGCGAAATACTCCACTCCCTGCGAACCCCGCGTTGCACTCTATGCTTATGACACAGCAGTTGGCGCGTCCTTAGAAAGCCCCTCACTATTACGGCTACACCTACCGCGTTATTCGAAAAAATTTGCCAACTGATGTCGGCAGAGATAGCCATTAATGGACAAAGAGTAAAGCAATCCTCATAAGAAGACGCATCACGCTACCGCAGTCTTTTATTCTAGGTGTTGAGATCCCGTTGGGCTCTCAGGCCAAGTATTTGGCGTCGTCATCGATAGGCGACTAGCTTGGAGGCAACACGTAGAGTTCGTTTAGAGTAAGATCCAAGCAGCATTTCACGCACTCTATTCGCTGCTGTGTGCTAAAAGCACACTATGTGCAATAAACTACGTCTTTATAAAGTATGCTTGCGCCTTAATATGGCCTGCGCATCTAATTCTTGGATATATGAAAAACCGTCGACGGTTACCCTCCTCCCGACGCGGTAAAGCATGCCCCGGCGACTAATGACAGGCGCGTTACGTGACGACCTGGATTTGGAACAACTTGAAGTCTTTTTCTTGAATGCAACTTCAGTTTCTTTTGAACGTATTGCTAAGCATCCAAACCACCAGTGAATTCCAGAACTTACCCACAACGCTGGAAAGGCTCCCGCTTTTGAAGGCCCGCGCGCTGCGTTTCAAGCGCATAATAACAGTTTTATTTATACTTCTATACACATTTGTAGAAAGTTTGTTGTGAGATGACCTGCCGAAACTGAATAAGCTCTAAGCTTAATAATATAAATTATTTTCGAAATCAAGCAATCTGCGCTCGACATTACCGAGTATCCTGCACAATTCATTTATAAAAAAAAAAACTTTTCTTGTGTTGTCTAGTCACAACGCTAAACGTTTGTTAACAGTTATGGCCTTAAGGTTCTTTTGGAAAATAAAAAATATTGGTACTTCTGTTTACTTAGATATTCGCTGTAATGAAATCACTTAAATGCTCTAACAAATTTTTAAGTCTATTAGGTTAAGTTTCTTTAAAAGTTTCGTCTTTCTATTGTTTTTTTTTTTTTTTACTTTGTACACTATTAAAAAACGTTTTGCTTCCAATCAAAAAGTTACTCTAGAAAGTTGAGTTCTCTTTTTACCTAGGGAAATATGCGTATGAAAGGAACCACACTTCCCTGAAGTGTTCAGAATGGCAGTGATAAAGAAAAGATGCACCCTTACATCAATGTTAAAGGCTTAGTCGCTAATCTTACAACGAAAGTGCAACATATTGCACGCAGTCGAATAAAGAGTTTAATTGAAAGAACATTTAATTGGAAAACTGCTTTCTTAATATTATTATAGTTTGCACAGCCTTGACCGTACATACTCTCATATCGTTGAATTTAGTTTGAAAGCAAACAGTTTACTTAAATACTTTGGAAGCTTCCTGTCGATCAAGTTTGTATGACTAGTAAGAAGTTAAAGTTCGTAAGTACATCCGTTTAACAGTTGTTCCAATTATATATTATAGCATTTACGTAAGATGCCCCCTAATAAAGCCCTTTCTATATTAATATGGCACTTTTACTAAAAAAAAAGAAAAGTAAATTCACTGTGAAATTTAAGAATTTAAATTTCACTCAATGAAATAAAATCCTAATAATTTATGTCCCATATTATTAAATTTACTAATTTTCATTTAGAGTTTTCTTCTACTAGAGCTCGTGGGAATTAACCGTAAACACAAAAGGAGTTTAAGGAAGTTGAATGAACTACTGGTCTACCTATGGACGTAGTATATCTCCAACTGGAGGCTATCTAAAAGGATACTTTTAATTTAAAGAAGAACTAAAAAGATTTTTTCCTATTTATTATTATTTACGGCGGATATATTAAGAAATTTATTAACAGCTTTAACAATTGGTCGCGTTCTTAAAAGGTCAACTTGGAACTCTGCCCCAATTAGGATATACGAGATTGATTTTAACAGTTTATCTTATAGAAAACGGTGGAGTTAAATTTTGCAATTTCGGTGTTTGTTGGTCAAACTTTGGTCTTAAAGGAGTAAAGTAAACCTACTTGGACCTTGCAGATTACCAAAAGAGCGGTTATGTATTAAAAAAGGGTTACATCACTAAAACCCTTTATGAATGCAGCATTAACTTTCAGCACTCTACTTCATAAGAAGAATGTAGACGTTTGTAATATATATTTTATGAAAAAATAAATGTTCCAAGTACGGAAAACAATACATCGCTATATTAAAACCCCCGTACTAATTTATGTATTACAGTTAGAAAAAGAAAAGTCAACGATAACGGCTTTTGTCTTGATTAAAAACTGTGGAGACCGAAAACTGATGAAAGGATATTGGTTGAAAATGTCAGTTGCTATACCTTTCGCAATTAAAAAATTATTTAAAAGACTAAATTTGCCATAAAGTCAGTTAGAGGTCAAATCACAAGTGTGATATTTACAAAAGCAGCCCCTTTACACAAAGAAAGATCACTTTCATTCACTAATAATTAGACATGGAAACTTTAATAATACCACATGGCACCGAACTGCATGAGTAGTAATAAACTGTCAAAGGGCTTGAGCATTTAGCTAACAAAAAAAAAGTGGCTTATATTTCCAGAACACAACCGGGGTTGCGATTAAATTATTTCAGGCTCCTAAAGGGTGCAAACTAAAGTGCATAAACTTTTAATACAGAAAAATTGCGAGACATGTATCAAAATAATAACATTTAAAGGAGATGTTGATATCAAAACTAAAGCTGATTATTTTTATCAACATATTTTAGGAAAAACACAGTGTATATGATATTGATCTATACTTTACCTCATTTAAAGGTTTAGCAAGGGCTTTGACGGTTTTGTGCAAATGTGCGCTAATTGTTTGGATCTTGAACTTTGAAGTTAAAGGCGACGCCTGAAAAAGAGAGCAATTTTTCATAACCATTAATTAAAAATATCCAAAGCCCAAAAGGTTTTATTAAAAGTTTTTGGAAGGTATTTAGGTTTGGTTGAGCTTAAAAAAAAAATTTGGCCTTTTAATGGCCTTTTTTAACGTGCATGCAAGTAGAATTTTTTTCGTTGTTTCCAATGTTCTTAATGAAACTTAGAATGCGCCTCAACTTTAGAGTATACTGCGAAGGACCCGAAAGAAGTCTTTTCTTGTGTGCGTTGAAGCTTACGCGGGGGTTGGATGTTGTGTGGCGGTTAATTTTAAGCGCTTGTTCATTGGCGTATCCGGTAAGCAACGCAATAAAATTGTTAGTAACTAACCGTTATTCTTCGCTATCTTTTATAGGCGCTATAGTTAAACACTAAGAGAGAAAAGTGTGAGTTATAGACTAACAAGAAGCAAGAAAATGCTTTCTAAACATATGTTTATTCGCCTTTCCATCAGCATGTTGCTTATATACAGTTAAGTTAAGATCAACAATTTCAATGTTTAAAAATCAGCTCTTTATTTTTGACAAATATATAGTTTTCTAATTAAGTTTTCTCTCTCAAGGTCAAATATTTCTGGTTTTACTAGTAACAATTCTATTTTGCCACTTTAAAGTTTTACAAATACATCTCTCTATTAGCGGGAATAGAGTTAGGCGATCTGTAAATCATAAGTTTAAGACAGAAGGTTAGAATATAGCCAGATATTGTTAGGAGGCTTAGCCTACGTATTTAACTATTAAGCCTCTATCTTTGGGTTTAAAAACATTACTTCAGAAAAGTTCAAGTCTCTCTTCTATTAGGCATTTTCTCGTCTCAAAACTGACCTCTCCTGTATGAAGTACATTGTATCTCGTATTAAACAAAGCCTTTCACGGATATATCTTTGAAGCCATGAGCAATTGTAAGCTATACATTTTAAAAGGACTAGTACAATAACATAAGCTAAACGGTTAAAATCTCTCTTGTCCTACTGTGACGAGATGAACCTTAGATCAATATTTATTCGCCATGGTGGTTCTTAGTTCTGAGAGTATAGTTTGAATACACCCTACGAAATAATGAATACTAATAGAAAATTGCTTTAAAACCTCTTTAACAGTTTTTTTTATAGTGGTTAATATAAGTCAGTTCTTACTCTTCATTATTGTATTTCTACAATTTATATTATATATTTTTGGGGAGCAGTGTACAGGGGGTATTCTGTCTCTATACTTACAAAGCCGCAGTGCGTAGATATGGTTTTCAATTGCAAACTTAACAAAAATTTTATATTATTTTAAGAATTAATATTGAACTTACTGATATATTACTTAACTAAACTTATTGTTTTTGTTAGACGAGGAAGTAATATAAAGTTTAAAGTTCACCTTCACTTTAATTCAACTGCAGTTTATATAGCATGGACTTAGTCTCAGATGGAAAAAAATATTTTGATGGATAATAATTGTTATAAAATGAAGAGTTACTCTAATTTCATATATACATAAATTTTTTGCTCACAGTTTGCAAAACTGTTTAGTATGGAATATCGATTATTACAGAAATCTTATTCAGAAATACTGTGTTAAATATATTTTTTATGGTATATCGTTTAGGAACTTTTCTCTATTGCTATCCGTTACTTATGAAATCATATAAATGTCTCTGTGACTTAACCGTTAAAGCACTGAATTAAGAAAACTAATAAAAAAGTCCAAGGAGTTACGATACGACTACTTAACCCTGGCAGTTAAAGCCGATAAATATATAGAAATTTTAAAAAGGCAAGAAAATTAGTTAAAAGTGTCGAGTTAGCAAGACCGTCACAAATTGAATACCGAAAAAAATTTATTATATATACGCTAGGGGTACGTTAGCCAGCGGTCAATTAAATATTTCTTACCTCAGCTAATTTATAACGTGGTGAAAAATCCTAAATAGTAAAAAACTGAGCTGGGAATCCATGAATTCTAAGGACTAGCTGTTTATATTTTACAGTTAACTTGTGTTACTCTAAACCATACGCTTAGTTTAGCCTAACTCCACTGTTGAGCATGGAGGGTTTGATAATAGAAATCTATCGCGGGGCTTTAACCAATTGCTACCTCTTGCAAAACAAACCTTAAAAAAATATGCGATGCTCAGTTGCAATAAGCCACCAGTAATTTAGTGAAGTAATAAAAAATTTCATCAAGTGTATACTTAATTCTTTACAATATTATAATAAAAAACCAAAAAACTTTGCTTTTCAAACTAAGTCTTTAATATAATATGTATCTATTAACTTTCTTCGTCTTACTCGCGTTGTCCCCCGCTAGAAGGAAAGTTTTGGTAAAACCTATTTACACAAAGAAAAGTCCCCGCTCTTGTATTCATTCCTGCAGTAATGCTTGGTGTTTATAGTGAAAGTGGCGACGAGCTGGAACTTACTTCTGATCCAGTGGAGATTGCATTGATAACTTATACAAGTTGTCTTCAAAAAAATAGTAACTTTTTTTATTATTATTTTCGCAATATATTATACTGGACTTGTATTTCTTTAACTGTTACTTAATAAGTTTGCCCCAAACTATTGTTCTTATTGCAAGAGAACGGCTTTGCATTTTTACAATGTCTTTGCAAAAAAGCTACACCCGGTATTGGTTCAACTCTTGTTTTCTAGTTTTTTTTTCAACTATAACTTTAAGGTACCATCCTTGAGACTTATTTTACCAAGAATGATGGATCTTTGCTCCATCTTTATTTGTGCCTTTTGCCAGATTGTGAGCCTTCTCGGCACGCTGGATACGGCCATCCTTATACCGTACTGCTTTTGCGTTTTAACATACCTCAAAAAGTCCCTCCTTTTTATTTTTATAGATTTACGAACTTCTTAAAAAGGTCAAAACTACTTCTAGTACTTTGCTAGTTTTTCTTATTTTAAGGTACTCTATAGTTTTAAAACATTACTTCGTTTTTTAGATTGTTGATCCACTTTTAGGGATCCACAAAAAGAAACTTTCGCTGCTTGTTGTGCAGTTTCACGGGCTTTTCCTTTATATACTTTATCTAGCTCAAGTTTTTAACTATTTATTACAATTTTTTTTACTCTCAGAGAGTAATTATGTAGAATCACTAGAAGTAGATCTTAAAATATTTATCTCTTCGTCGGTTAGTAGTCATTCTTCTGACGATATATTGCTCGTCTGTAGAAACATACGCAATACTGCAAGACTGGTAGACATGCCACCTAACGTGTGCGTTTGCTATTTTGTCGCTCATAGCAACACCAACAAACATTTGCCTTCGGTAGTTTGAATCCAGCTACTTATCAAAAGTTTATTCGCGAGTGGGTAGAAGGGCTTCCGGGCGTAACCATAGAAGTACTCGAGGGAGAAGAGGTAGCCTGTCTTTGTACTTCCGCCAGCACCTGCCCGTCTATACTCCCGCGTAGTTGAGGGCCCGTGGCTTGGGAGGCCTCTACAGTGTCGGGAAGGCGAGCGCTGACCCGCCGGCTCTGGTGATCCTCTCATATAGCCACGCGTCGGCGGCCAAGCCCGTCTGCCTGGTGGGGAAGGGTTTGCTCTCTTATATAAGCCTTCTAGTCAAACGTGGGCGGTAATGCGAAATTAACAAGGAATCACGTTCGACACGGGCGGTCTCTCTTTGAAGACCAGGACAGGAATGTGCGGTATCCTCTTTTGGAATCATTATATTTAAGATCCCCTGATCACCTGACGAAAGGGATGAAGATGGATATGGGCGGAAGCGCGGGTTGTTTTGGTCATGCGCACCTTACTCTGTCCGCCTTCCGCTTCTTTCAAGGCTGTCTCTAGGAGCGTTCGTTTCTCTGGTGGAATCGGGAAAGCTAAAGACTAGCCTCCACTGCTTGCTATGCATCGCTGTATACTGGCTACTCTACCGCTCTCTGAGGTGGTAACCCCTAGACACTTCCATTACAGGAGAACAGCGTGTCTTCCAAGGCGACCAGGCCGGACGACGTGCATCTCCTCTATAGCGGGAAGTCTGTAGAAGTCAACAATCCGGACGCGGAAGGACGACTGGGTTTGGCTTTGACGCTTTTGCGGACTTTCTTTATCCAACCGACCTTTCTCCTTACGGTAGTACTGGCGGACGGTTTAGCCTATGCGGCGAAGCGCTATGCACCCGGCCTGCTGGTGGACATGGCCACACTCACCGGTTGGCTTATAGAAGGGCTCGACTCTACCACTCGGTGTACACCTCCCTTTTTTCCAGGCGCCCAGGGAACGGCCACGGAAATAAACATGCCGCTATCTACGCCAGCAGCGAGAAAGTCTTACCTTCATTCCATTTCTCCCTCTAATTTGTAAACCGCAATATTCTCTTGCTCAAGATCGAGACGATCGCAGTCGAGAGCGGGAAGGTCAGCGGAGATCTCTGCCATCCGCTACCCTACGCGCCTGAATTTCTGCTGCCCGAGTTCCATTCTGCCGTGGCAGACATGAAGAACAGCCAGAAAAATCGCGATAATGCAGGTGAGTTCCCCTGGGAGTTGTGGGAGTTGTGGGAGTTGTACTGCTGAATCATGCCGAGGGCAGGTTGCGCAGCCCCCGCAGTATTTCTGAGCATGCACATCGAGGACTACTTGAAGGTCCTACCAGCCCACTTCGCTTGATTGGGCGCATAATCATTGGTTAATGAGTCAGAAACATGACACTCATTGGCTGCACATCGATATAGCGAGCTTGTGTATGCGAGACGAGAGAGCGACAGGTGGTTACACCTTCAAGTGCATACTGGCTTCTCTAATATGCCCAGCAACAGGATTCGGCGTTGCCTTGCTTTTCCACGTGGTGATGGCGTATATGAAGGAGACGGGAGAATAGTAGAATAAAGTGTATTAAAAGTGCAGTTGTGTGGACGGTTGGCGGGCGCTTCTCTTTACTCGCCGAAGTGCCACGTGCTTCGTCCTAGCGTCTTTTCTCGCATTACAGAATTCCGTTTTTATAGTACTGATAGTTGTCGTACAGTTTCGTCGAGAAGCTGGACATGCTGTCCTCGATCATGGTGTTGACTTGCCCCTGAGAGAAAAAAGATCACGCTTATGCCACGTGACTGACACGTGGACCTACTATGAGCTGTTTCTCCGTCAACGACACTTTGAAGCGGTCCTTGAGGGCTTTTATGCAGGCCTCTCCCCCGTAGAAGCAGGGCAGATTGGATCCTCTCTGCATGATTTCCGCCAAGAGGACGACCTTGTCCATGTGCCTCCTGGCAGCAATGAAGCCCTGAAGCATGAGGCTTCGGAAATAATGGTACATATCGCTCTCGACGCCGCCCATGACCTTCGAGGCAAAACGATCCCGCTCATATGAAGACCTGCACGCAATACACACAATCTGTACCTCCACAAAGTCGAGGCTCATTTTAAAGGACGCTGTTTCAAAACCCAAATTCCGCGGGGAGCTCCCAAGGAAAAACCCAAAGTCGATGTGCACCACATGCCCCGCGTGCGTTATAAGTATATTTCCATTGTGCCTACCAACCAATGAGCGAGGTGGCATTAGTTATCAGGAATGGATGTTCTCCACCTGTCCTTGACCTTCAGAAAGTAGCATATTAGCGAGTAGCCGGCTAGGCTCTCGACAAAGTTCTGCTGAGCTAGCAAGTATGGCCCTGTCCGCTGCTGGCCAAACTTCTACGAGAATCGGTGTAAGTCAGCGTGAGGAAAGCACGAACGGTGCAAACCTCCTCGAAGTAGTCATTCAGACTGCGAGAGCCCATCTGCTTCTTAATGGAGTGCAGCGAGATTGCGTTCTTGATGGTCTCGATAAGCCCGCCGTTGCTACCTGTGGCCACTATGCGGTACGGATGCAGCCAGAGCGCCAAATGCTCTTCCTCCCAGATATGCTTGAATTTGAGGATCATCTGGGCGGCCAGCACTTCCTGTCTGAGATCGTCTCCTGCCGAATGGATAACAGTTGCATACTACAATGCTGGAGATGTGCAAAAACTGCGCACCGCTTTTAACGATCATCGATCGGACATCCCAGCCGTCTGCCTGCCCATAAGGCGAGTTACAACGTATCCGGTCGACTTTTTCTTGGCGAGAATAATCGTGAAAGTAAAGCAAATAACAAAGCAGACAGAGAACACAGAGTCACCGTTCCACGGCTCTTTAAGCAGACGGGAGGGATGTTCGAGCTGAGGTCCTGTTTGACTCGAAGGGCCCTCATCTGCGCGAGAGGGCACTTCGAAGAGCTCCGACGGCCCTTCTGAAGCAGAAGAAAGCGGATCATCGCACTCGACTACCTCGACGAGGATAAGAAACGGCGCCTGTTTCCACGAGAGTTTGTTAACATATTGGAGAGCATAAGGCTTGCTGGTACTCGGTCTTTGGAGTCTAAAATAACGGCCTCTTCTGGAGGGATTCTAACCACGTGGTGTTGGTGACCCCTGTCATCGAGGGCTAGGGGGAAGGACACGCGGGTGGGCCGCGCAGGCAAGGAGAGATTTAGAGAGCGCAGCTTCATCGAAACCAAGGGTCGTGAAAAAATAATTGGATAATTTTTAACCAATAGTACTTCGGAATACAAATGCTCTTGCCACGTGTCTCTACATTTTATATTCAGTAATTTGATGCCGATTCCCACTAGTGCATCTAGCCAAAAGGAGAGGTCGACACAAGGCAAGTCGAAATAGAAATAAGCGACAACTTATAAAAGCGAGCTGAGCGCGTAGGTGCGTCTGAACAGTGGCCTTGCACTCCTGCGTAGTGTGCTACCAACGAACAGCCCTTCGACCAAATACCGCGTTACCTGCGAATAGGCGAGGATGCCTAGCGAGTGGGGGACGGGAAGGACATGCGCCGAACTGGTCTTCCGATGCCGCAGACACTCAGAGGACGGGAGAGGGTCGGGCGACTCCTGATCGCTGGAGGGCACAAGCGTGGGCAGGCGAGGTTGAGAGCCACTGGAGCACGCGGACGGGAGAAAAGCGCGGAAGCTTGCTGGTTCCAGTAAGATGGCCTGCTTGAACACACTTCCTTAGAAGTTTGATAACACAAACTTTATTTATTTTTTATTTTGTAACGTTGTAAGGACTTTACTTATAATAAAACGGCTTAATAAAACTAAAAATGTGTGCTTGCGCGCGGCACACGACCTGGTTCAGCCACCCGTCTTTGTAAGAAACTATAATGCATACTAGTGCAGGAAAACTACCACAAAAATGGCTTGAAGTAAGCTGTTGACATCGTTATTAGCACACATATTTCTAGTTGGATACTACACACACGTACATTTAAAGTTTCACTTTTTAACCTAAAATTTGTTATTAGTCAATGTAAATATAATTTTATGTAAATGAACGTGTTATAATATTTATTTATAATAACGATATAACAATATTTAAAGCTTTTTCTTAAGACCCAAAAAGGTTTGCAAAAGTTTTATTATTTCCTGTTCTTAATAAAAAATCTTATAAAATTTTAAGTTTGTTAAAATTGATTTCAAATGTAATAATTAAAAATTTTCTTTTGAAATTTGGAAATAAACAAAAAACTAATAAATAAATAAAAAAGTTGATTTGCGTAACTTGACGGGTTTATGATAAAACGGCACAAATAGTTAAAGAATTGCAAACAAGGTATCAAGGTACTAAATGGCAAAGCGCACCTGTTTAAGCCAGCGGGCATAACTGGATACCGAAGAGTCAGCATACTTACCCAACTGCGACTCTAAAAAGCAGATTACCTTTTATGGAAGAGGAATTTCACTTTTAAGGTTTTTGTATGAAAATAATAAGTAATGATAAAGTTTATGGTATAAATATTATAGTGATTTTTATAGTTTAGTAAGCTCTTTGCAACACAGACTGACTTCTATACAAAAAAAGGTAAACAATTGACGTGTACCTTGAAGATGTAGAAGGAAATTAAAATAGTCATAAAGTTTAATAGTATAACCGTTATGGTATATATAGAGGATACATAGAAAGAGTGGTATTACTATAAATTGCGGAACGAAATTTAATTTATAAAAAAAAAGTTATAAAAATCGCTTAAAACAAAACAAACTATTGGCCAATAACAAACCAAAAGAAGTACCAAACAGGCGAAACTGAAGTGGTGCGAGCAAGCAAACAGAAGAAACCGCTCGAGAGCGCCGTCTGGCGAGTGCCATAAGCAGCACATGTGGCTGCAAAAAATAGTGGGATGCGTAAATCTTTTAGGCGGTGATAAATGTATATTTGAACATATTATCAGACTCTACTTATCATACAAAAAAGTAACAAATTTGAGTAAACTAGAGAAAATCTAGTCATTGTTATATATAAGTTGGTATAAAAAGATTCCAACACGAGCTGTGGAATGTAGAAATTGAGCTTGGAAAACGGCATGTTCTACTCAGAAACAAAATAATCACCACCAAGACTAAGTTGGAAAGAATAAAACTAATACAAACAACTCGTTGACTAAATAGTCTTTAACGCCGGGATCGGGATACTGCCAAAGATAGGCAACGGCCAGCGAGACATCAAAAAAATCACTTCGAAAAAGTCTTTTTTATATAAAGTTTATACAAAAAAGATAAAAGTTTATGGTTAATATTTATCAATTTTTACCTTAACAGCCAAGAAATCTGAAAAACAGCAGCGTCATAGTAAATTCACAAGAAGAAGTAATAATTAGTTAACAAATCAAGTGCGAAGGAATATAAACACATTCAAGTAGTAACTAACTTAGTAATTTATAACTTTCCTTTAAAAAGTGGTCTTTTCATTGTTTTATAGTAAAAATTTATTACCAGAAATTTAAGGTGAATTTTAAACAATTAAAATTTTAAAAAATTGCAATTATATATATATAAAATTATTAAATACGTTATTCACAATTAAAAAGGATGTAAAATCAATACATCGATTTTTAAATTTCTAAAATCTAAATTTTTATATAAATCAAAAGAAAAGGGAGAGAATAATAGTAAGAAACAATAAAAACCCAAGTTTATTATTCACTTAAAAAAAATCCAAATTTAAGTGAACTGTTATAAAAATAGTTTGTTCGAGTAAAAAATTTCTGAAAAAGTGCAAAGTTAAAAGACATTAACTTTTAAGTAAAAAAAAAAAAATGATAAACTGAATATTTAAGGTAAAAAATATCAAAGTAAATTAACCTCCATTCCTTGGTAAACAAAGCGCCCAAAAAAAGCTACTTAAATTAATATACACCAGAAAAACTACTAACTTCGTCAGAAAAGGTTTTTAAATTAAAAAATTAACAAATTTATGTATTAACAACAAACAAAAATATGAAAAATAAGTAATGTGTTAATTATATTTTACGGAAAGAAAAGTTAAAATAAAAACAAAGACATAATATTGTAAAAGATCCACAAATTGGAAAAGGAAAAATTTAGAATTATGAATAAGTGTAGAAGTAATAAATAAATATAAAAATACAGATAGTGTTTTAAAAAGTTATCTGCAACGCAAAGTTCTTACGTTTCCCTCCAAAGACTGATTCCTCCTGTTAACTTTATTAGATGAGGATTTATTATTTACAACTTCTTCTTCCATATTTCCTAAAGATACTGGTACGTTACCATTTTGATTATCTTCAGTACTCTGCTCTTTCATTTCCTGGGTTATAGCCGCTGCTTTACGTCATCATTTAAAGAACTCCCCTAATTCGAAACGCCCCTAACCCCTAAAGTTGCTTACATACCTTTAGGATAAGCTGTTAGCTGAACCCTAACCCTCTTTAGAACACACGCTTTTACCTTAAACAGTATTTCAACATATGTTAAAAAGTTTTTGACTATTATATCGTATATCAAAATAGCAGATAGCATACTTCTTCATACAAAGGCAGCTACTTAGAAAGCTACAACCAACAAGTTGCTAAAAAGCAATTTTTCTGAATTATGAAATTTTAATTCAAGTTATATTTGTTTTTAAAACCTTTGGCGTGCCCTTACAATAAAACTATTCCTGATGGATTCCCTCTAGGCGAGTGCGTTGTTTTTAAATTTTTATGTAAGCACTTTTTGCGCGTTCACCTACCACAACATTTTTTTAACAGTTAAAGTCGTTTTTACATTCCACGTTCCCGCAAACTTCATTCGCTACTTTTTGGTGCTCCGTATTTATATTTAATCAGTTATTGGAGTAAAAAAAGCTTACATCGCCTGCTTTTCTTCCTTAACTACCTATTGCTTAGCTTCTTTCATCATTGCCTTCGTGCCAACGTCTTCGGTGGACTATGCAATTTCCGATACTTAATAAATAAGTTTGTCGAGTCAACGCAGACCTAAGAAGGGTAGAGTGTACTATAGGAAGACTTTAACGTATTAAAAACAATTACAGTTGTTAATGATGAAAAGATTGCTGCCTACGACGTACACAAACGTTTTTCTAGACTATTAAATTATTTGTAAACTAGGAGTTTACTACTAGAACTTAAACTAAAGTTTCAAATTTAAGTTGTGTAGGTTTTACCTTGGTGCCATATCTTTTCCCGCCGAGACTTAAAGGAACGGTGGAAAAAGCTTTTATCACTGCTTTGAAATTATTTTATACAAGTACAAAGAAAGCCCTTAACTTGCTTTCGTTGCTAACCCTCCTTGACTGCTCATAGAATAGTAATTATTTAAATAATCACCTATCATGCCGTCTTCTTAACTCAGTGATCTTATAGTTCTCCATTAACAAACAGCGAGTATGAAAGATTAATGCCATCAGATTTTTCAAAAGGAGAATAAACAAAAAAGGTTAATTAATTATACTCTTTGTGAGTACATAATATAACGATATTAGCTTCTTTCTTCTTATAACTTGCCCATGGACTGATACGCAAACATTGGAATTGACTAATTCGAGGGGACCTGGAGCCTTATTTAAACCCCTTATAGATTAAGATGGGATAAGGTTTAAGCGATAAAGGTGTGCTGCGTATCGGCTGTAGTTGCCAGTAATAAATACAGCAATTAATTAAATCAACAAGATTTGGATTTGTTTTCCAATACTTATTACCTTATTTTGTTGTTTCGTCTTACCATACACTGTAAGTGCATATTTTAACCATTATATGATAATTATAAATAGCTTAATCTCCTATAACCTTTTCTAACCAGTGAAATGTCTATTAGAAAATTACTTAGTATAATTATAACAAGATTTAGATATAAAAGTAGTCAAAATGGTTTTTCCTTATAAAATTAAGCATAAACGACCCTGTTATTTTGAGTTTTCGTAAGCAACTGCTCGTCCGTCTCAAAAGAAAAATACGAATACTTAATTCATGTGCTTTGAAGGTTTTATTCTTCAGTAGTTAAGACAGTTTACGATGATATAGTAAGTTAGAGAAGACTAACATATTTTATTTATCTTAGTACTTAACTATTTTAAAGCCAATAACTTTAACATTTTTTTTATTAAAAAATTTAATTCTACTATTTTAAGATTTATAACTTTTTTAGCTTATCAAAATTTATTAGGTTAATAGATTACTTGGAAAAACAAAGGTTTACCCTTTTTTTAGGATATGCAAAAAACAAAATATAAATGGATGTTGGCTTGCATTAAAATAATTTTATAAAAAATTTACATTTAACACAAGAGCTTACTGGAAAAATATTAAAATTCATTAATTCAAAATACCAAATTACACTTTTAATGGGTCACGTAATGTTAGATACCATATTTTTAGAATGCTAGGCATACTTTATTACATACTCAAGAGCCCTGGGCCAAATTTTGCAGAGCGGGTAACGATTCCCTAAGATCCTTCGCAAGCCTTATGAACCACTGTACAACACTAAATTTTTAGAATATCTGCACAAAACTAACATATTTTTCAGAGAGGGCAGCTTGACTATACAATGCTATGCTACCTGGTCTTAGGCCTATGACTACTGTACATAAAAATTCTAATAAGCGGAAGAGCTGTTCCGTAAAAAAAAAATATAGGTAGAAGTCATTAAAATATGTTTTAGTTTGCTAACAACCCACACAAGTGATCACCAACCTTCTAGGTAAATTAAAAAATAAAAAAAAACGTGTCGCGACATACTCGAACATGAGAATTTTTTGTATGTTATCGCTAGCATCTAGAGGCCCATTTTTATAACCATATAGTTTATATATTTACTTATTTAAGCACATTCATTGATATTAAAAAAAAACTGATGCAAAGCAAGTACCTTAATACATAAAAGGAGGACACTCTAGAACATAATAGGAGATAAGGAGAATATATCTAAAACCAGAGCAAAATCTTTTCTATATCTCTCTGACTCTTTTTTTTTGGTTATAATAACCATCAACCATGGCGACTTTTTGAGCTTAGTTAAATAAAATTACCTTTAGTAATGCATTTATAAACCGCGGGAGTAAGAAACCCATGACCTCATATATAGAAACTGGGTGGCTTAACTTAGTGTTACAAGGATAATCATTATAAGAATCTATTATTAAGATTTTATATATAATATAGAGTAAGATTTTTATAATTAAGTTCAGAACTCTCTCGGTGATGGTTTTTAGTGGTTTTTAGTGGTTTTCCACCACCCTAGGCCAAAACGGCAGGAACCTGGGCCCGATATTTTCCGCTTTTATTCCAGTACTTCGAGACGGTCATTATGGCTCTCTAAAGAGCGTACACTGGTGGGCATCCGCGTTCCAACCCTCCGCAAAAGAGGGAACTCAGATTAAGCGACTTAAAATCTGAAGAAGACTGACTGTAGCATGCCAGTACTAAAAAAAAATTTAAAGTTCAAAAGTTTTTAAAAATGTACTTTTTTACTTAGTAGATTATTTTGATTGATTTAATTTAATTTAAAGGGTAATTAGTAGAGAATGGTCCCTGAACAGGTGGAGTGTTTTAAACTGTTAAATTATAAGCATATATGTAAATAACTTTGATTTAATTCATTTAAACTCCTGCTTTTTTATTAAAAGGACCTTTTTTTCTCGTGCCCCACTTCCATTTCTCTAAACAGCAAGCCTCTTATTAAAATATAAACCACATTTTGGGCCGCACAAGGCAAGATTAATATGCCCTTGCGTCCGTAATATTCTTATATATATTTGAACTATTATTTACTATGTTAATGTTAAATGACCCCATCTATTTATTCTAAGACTTGTTAAGTTTTATTTGTCTCCTCTAGTAAAGTTTCTTCTTAACTAATAAATATTATTTAACTATATTTCTATAAGATATATCGATTTCCTCAAAAGTTTTTTTTCATATATAGTATAAAGTAAACCAGCATAAGCTGGTAGACAAGAATTTAGCGAGAATTAGTAAGGAAGCTAAACCTACTTTATAGTTGCTATTATCAAGCTTATCACTTAAAATTAAAACCCTATTACTAATAAATATATAAAATACAAGTTTCCTCAAAAGTGGCATATCGCTTTGATCTTACGGATATAGTAAGCTTATCAGTAATAAATGACTTGCTTTGTTAGTTTAGTGTGATCTAAAATTTACCTTAAATTAAATATCTCAGTATTTTTTAAAAGTGGAACTTATCCTAAAGGAAAGTAAAACTTAAATATGTAGTGGAGTATTGGCACACCACCATGGTTGAAAGCGATATTCAGTTAATTTTTACAATAATTAGGGATAATATAAAAAATTGTTAGTTGAGGGGCTTAGCTGTAAGTTCTACGAATTGGAACAAATTCATTAGTAAATTATTTTTTAATGCACCTGTTAAACATTAAAAAAGTTATTGTGGAAAAATTTTTCCATGAGTTTATTAACCTGCTTTATTAAAGAGCGGTTGTTAAAGAATTTTATTTATTAAAAGTTATAACTACAATATTAAACTGACTGCGATGATTTATAGTATAGTATTTTTGTTGACATTAGCGACTGCCAAAGTTTTTATAAAAATGCTCTTAATTTCGGCTTGGCCTGTGGCATTAATTTTTATTGACCGGGAGCTTTACAAAATACTCAACAAGTCCCTTTTTTAAGGATAAAAATCGGTAGGGTAGTAAATGATTAACTGATTTTTATGCATAAGCGTCGCTTTAGAAGCTAAGTGGTTATTCTAACGAACGTATTGTACTGCGTATTTGTAGCATCCTTAACCTAATTTAAAGTCAAGAATATTGATACAGTCGACTTCGACTATAATGAACTCCGGGCACCAGCTATTTTTGTTCGGTAAAACCGAGCTAGTCAAAAAACGGTATATACTGCAAAAATAGAAAGACGATTGAAATGGTTTTTTTTTTCAATATAAGCATGTTTTTTATTGCCCATCCTTTCAAAAAATACATAAAAATAAGTTTTTGAAAAATAATTGGTTATCGACTTCTGTGTCAAACCACTGTTGACAAACGTTATTTCTATTTGAGAAAAGGACCGAGACCAAAGGGTTATTTTCTCTTAAACCAAGGGCTCGTTTTTAGTCTGTTTGTTATAGGGGTGAACCACCCTTCAGCTGTAATACAACAAAGTTAGCAAGTTATTCTAGTTCGGAGAGAGTTCTCATCTATTTTAAAAAGGAAACTATCCTCTATAATGCTCTCTACAGTGGAAAATATGGATTCATTTCAAGTTATAGCAGGTACGACTGTAATATGTCAAAACGATGAAATAAATTAATAATATAAATAATACGGTCAAGAGAGAGCCTTCCCTCTAGAGGCCCAAGTTTTCTACAACTGAAACATATAAACTTGGACTTTACACTTTATTGCAGTTAAAATATATTTTGAAGTCAATTTAAACATCTAGTAATGCTGTTAACGGTTTCTTCATAGTTATACGAGTTCTTTGATATTTAGGGCAAAAGAAGTAAAAACTGTATTCTGCTCCTTTAAAGTTTAGTAATAACCACTTTGTACAATGTAATAAAGGTTAATCCCATTGTCGGCCATTACAGTAATTTTTTATACAAAAAATTGTCCCTGCACCTGCACGCTAGTGTATTACCAACTCTATAAAACTGTAAATATTAACGGCTTAATATCGAAAAATATACGGTTCCTAATGCGTTTCCGATTACGCCCTGAGTGCGCATAGCACGAGCCACTATTGTTGAACGTTGGCAAACTAAGCGGACTCTTTAAAACTTTAACATTTACGTTGTTAATGGTTCTTATTATAAAGCAAGCAATTTTGGACACGCTCTCTAAAAGACAGAAACCTCATATTTCTTTAGGAATATCCAGCTAATAACTTAATTCTTAAAACGTTTAAATTTTAAATTAATATTTATCTCAAGCTTTATAGCAGTTTGTAGAATTGAGTCCCTATTCTATGCATTAACAGTTGTGTGTGTCAATTAAGTTACACTGAAAAATAAAAACAAAAAATTAGCGCTGCACTTCTTAACAGTAACAGATTAATATTTTAAATATTAATTTATTAAAATTGCACGTATAAGGAATGGATTCCAGTGATGTGCGATTACAAAGTAGCAAACAAAGTGCGCTTTTAATAGTTCTTTATGTCTCATTACCAGTTTATAGTTAAATAGCGCTCCACCGCGTATTGGAGTTCTAAGGCGTCTGGTTTAACAGAAGGGGCACAGTCAATGAGCACGGCGCGCAAGAAAACAATATTAGCGAAGGCGTTGAAACAGTAAGCTACGCGACTGAGAGACTTTGGGCGCACAAAAGGGAGAAGGCGAGCGTGAAGGAGTCTCCCGACGTTTCGCAAGTCAGCTTGGATACCAGCGAGTTGCTCGGCGAGTGTGCTTTCAGGAATAGTCCGTCCGCTGTTGACTGTGTCACAGATGCGAACTACAGTCTCAAAAGCGCTGCGAAGCCCCTTATCCAATTCGAGCCACCAGTCCTCCTTCAGCTTTCCGTCGAGCGTGAGAAAGTGTGCTTTTACCTACACCAAATAGTCACAAAATGTCGAGCTACAACAAAAAACAAATAGGCCATACTAAGGTCTTAATAATATTATTTTCGATTTTGTTGGCTGTCTTCGCATCAAAAACGTTCGTTAGCATAGTTTTAAGGCACTTGATAAGTTTTTTAAAGTCCTCGTCGACGGACATCCGGGCGACTTTTTTTCCTATGCCTGTC